CTGCTGCCATATGTCCCAAGTAAATAACACACAGGGATAAAGGACATCAGATGCTTGACGCAGATGTTTGTTTTTTTTTTACCTTTTTTACCTAACTATTATGGTCCCAACAAATAACACACACACACACAAAGGCACGTTCTTCTGAGGTCTACAGTATGAAGTCATCATTAATGCCCTGAGCCGGATGTTGCTCTGACCTCTCTTTTTTAGGCCTGACCCCCTGCAAATGACTCTGGAGAGGGATTAGTCCGTGATACGCCTAATTAACCCCACAGCACACCGCTCAGCCTGGACCAACAACCACTCAACCACACCACAACAACCAGCCCTTAAAGGCTTTCACCGTCTCACTCAACGCTTTTGATGTGTGTATTCTTTTGATACAGGACGCAGGAGAACAACTTTGACTTTGTCACAAACAATGTAAGCAACTCTCTAAATGTCGCCTGTTATCTTTTCTTTTCTTTTTTTTTTCAAAACGTTCTGCTCTCTGCCCCCACGCCTTGCTCCACCCACCGACAGTCTTCAGGACCGTGCTAACCTCTGAGTAATCCCTTTGAAACCTAAACAAGTGTGTATTTTGACTCTGGTGGTTTGCAGAAAGGAAGCAGAGGTTAGATTTTCACGGGAGTCTGAGGCTGATAAAAACATCAACACTGAAATCTGTGGAAATGAGCCAACTAACATAACACACAGGCACACATGTCGAGGGGGAAAGATGCTGTCACGGCCACACTTGGACCGCTTAAAAATAGATGAACGACGGCTTTTCTAATCAGTCTTAAATAGAAGTCATTTAGAAGTTAATAAGGTGCCTAAGATGTAGTCTTAACTAAGACTGGTTTGCATAATTAATTCCAACTGTCTCATTCCTCACTGCAATTTTGGGCCTTAAGTTTAGAACTAGTCTGTGGTTTTCTGTATAGAGAAATAAGTTTATAAATAATACAAAAACAATCTCAAAGTTCTAATAAATAGGTCAAAATAACGTGATTTTCTTATATTGAAGACAGACGACATATTATTGATACTTCATGCAGCAACTGGAACCTCTGTTACAGCACTTCACTACATCACTGCACCACAGGCTGTTTAATTAAACCACAGTGATCAGACTACAGTTCCAAACCTGGTCCACCAACATCTTCCTGCAACTACTCCCAGGAGTTTTGATAAATGTGTGGTCAGAAATGTCCCTGCGTCCATCGGTGTACAGCGGACATACGCGGTGTGTTGGCGTTAATCATCTGCAGACGTCAGGGTCTGCCACACAGGTGTCAGGGTGTGAAAGGAGTGAAGTGAACTGCTTCGAAATACATACGTGCGTAAAACGCTGTGTCCCCCTGTAAAAGACACCGCCTGATATTGAACCTCTCACCCCATCGTTCTAACGAGAACTTGTGACACACTCCTTAAGAGTTCACATTTAACAGATATAACGTCAACCAACGACGGAAACCCTCTCCTCTGTGTATTTCTTACTCATGAGGACACAGACAGGAGGTTGGACATAAGGGGCGGGGGCAGAGGGAGCAGATGGGGGTAACTAGGTATTACAAGCATCTCGAGAGCAGGACAGATGGTTGGACACCAGTCAGGGTTATACAGCAAAAGGCTGTAAAACAGATATGAGAAAACCATATGTGAGTCACTTACAAATGTATTCTCTTACACGAAATGCACAGCTGTTTATCTACGGTCCATTGATAAATGATCTGCATTTATGACAGGAAAACAAAGAATTGACCCATAGGGATCAAGGTGGAAATATTATATTAGTTCCTTTGCATGAACCTCAGAGTACACAAATCAAAATACTCACACTCCTATTGGTTTGTAAGACAACAAGGGAGGCACTTGTTCAAAACTAAACCTGAAGCTAATCAACTTATGTAACCGTAAAACGTTACTCAATAATGGCCAGGTTTCAGATTTGTCCTCTGCGTCAGACTGTGGCTGTGTTAAGACATGGAGAATGTGGATGCAATTTATCTTCCTTTTCACTCAGGACAAAACACAGACAACACTTCCCAGATAACAACAAAAACAGCAAAACAACTCCAAGTAGCATCAACAACCTCAGCTGTCAGCACCCACAGGATCCGGGTAACACATCAGTTTTCTGGAACCACAGACAGGCGCCGAAAGCGCGTTTAATCTCTTCACACATCTCTGCCTCTCTGTGCTCCGCTCTCTCTCTCTCTGTCTTTCACTCAGCCTCACCAGAGCTTACAATTACACCTGCAGTGAGGCGAGACTATCCCAGTCGGGATCTTTGCGGCGGCAGGGAGATAGAGGAGTGTGACTGCAGAGAGTCCGCTCCATCTGTAACCACTGGTCAACGTCAGCTTCATCTGTTCAGACACGTTTGTTTTCAGTTGTGGCCGTCTCTCTGTGATGTCAGTTGTCTTATCGTCACATTAAACTTGATGGTGACAAAAACCTCTCTCTCTGATAATATAAAGGGCCGTGTGTGGGTGATCTGGGCAGCAAAGGTCACTGCCAGGTCAGGATGAACCGGGGGAAAAGACAAAATTATTTATGTCATCCTTTTTAAAAAACAACTTGCTGCTCAACAGGATAATAAAGACCAGAATAAAGACGGGCTTTGTTGAATTCTGTCTCCCGTCAGTGCCATGCATGTATGCAGCTTGGACCAGTCTGCTCCGTTCCCACGACCAACCCACTACAGGAGATGCTGCTGGGGAGGACACGGCCTCCGGACATCAATGTAGCATGAGCTCGTCTCCCACTAAGACCAAACTCCTGACGGTCACACAGGCATGTGCGTGTTCATGATTTCATCTCCCAGCGCTGCAGTTATACACACCTTTCCATCCGGTTTAGACGCATGACCAAATAAACACCATTAATGCTTCATCTCAGTACACACACCCACACTCACACACACACACTTATATAGATACAAGGCCTTGTGTCTGTAATTGAAATAAAATGGAGTGTGAGCAGAGGTCATGACCTGGAGGTTCTGGTGATGCGTTATTAACCCTGTTCACCCAAAAATACACACACCCTCTCTCTCTCTCACACACACACACACACACGTGCATACTGTATTTCTACATGAATTCACTTCCCTGGCAATTCCTCAACATACACATGACATGCAATAAAAACACGTCTCCTTCCTATTCCGATCGTTGCTCAATTTCCCATGAACCCTAAATTTCACTCTTTTTCACTTGCTGCATGTGTTTCTGGGCTGGAACAGCAGCATGTGAGAATCAAAACAATGGAAACTCTAAGGGAAGTCTTTGACCAATCTGTGCAGGAAGTTGTTAACGTTAAACCATTTTTTCCTCAGATTTGCAGCTAACAAAGGCTACACGACTGTTTTTAAAAGTTTCTTGAAGACATTTTATCTTTATTGGCAGCTCAAGGCCTAAGATCTCTGTCAGACCTGGACCTAAGAACATTACATCTCCAAACCCATGGCCTCCATTCACAGCCTGATCAAACACCTCCTTGTGTCCAGGATCTGTACAGGACTGATGTTCCTCAGGTCGACCTCCCCGCTCCTCCGCCCCATTTGTTTTCTCTCCGTGCTAATCTAAATTCCTCGTGAACACCTTCCATCACATGCCCGATGATCCGTGTAGAGCGCCCTCCCTGACGCGACCGTTTCATCACTTCTACAATCTGCACAGATACTCACACACAACACACACTGTATGCTGTTCCTAGCCTTGACCTTTCACCTAATCCCCCATAGTTCTTCCATTTGTGCCTCCCACACGCTCATAAAGGCCGCTGAGTGCTAACACATAAATCCGATGCGTTTCGCCGAGGCACAAATAAGACATACAAATACACAAACAGGCTGTAAATGTCCCCGTGTTATTATGTAATCCTGTGTTGTGACTGTGTTTTCATAATTTTTTGTAACCTTTTTATACAGTCCGTACTAAAATTACCCTGGAAATGAAGACATATCAGCGACGTTAGCAGACTGTCTGTGTGTGGCCACAGGTGTTCTTTACTTTAAGGGTTGTATTTAATTTTAAATCGCAGCTATGACTCCCTTGACTGCTATAGCGTCACGCTCTGTGACGTTGTGGAGACCCGAGGAGACAGGAAAGCTTAGAATAAGCTGAAGCAGCGCTGGTCTTAAATGAATGCTGCGGGTCCAAATCCAAATTAAATGAATTATATTTGAGTAATCTAATATCATGGAGCAGAGTTTTGCTTTAATGAGACATTGGAGGGTTTTGTCTGTAGACCCTCAGTTTGGCTAAGGAACGACTAAGAACTAGATATTAGTAATTTGTGGTGAAACGTGCTAAAGGTCATGTCTACATTTCCACAATCTTTCCACAGACACTGACGCTCTAGTGATGGGATCACAGAACGGCCTCAGTTTATTTTTAAGCCATGGACATTTCTAAAACAAAATAATGTAGAATTCCTGATTTTGTATGTTGTATTATTGGTATTTATTTAAGATGGAAAATATTTAGAAAATTTTAAATGCTGGTACAGGCTTAGCATTATTAATTAATTAACATCAAAAATTCCTATTAACGAAGCAGTCTAAACAAATTTACATTTTTTAACTATTTTAATCACAGCGTTTGATTATTTTTCTCACTACCTCATTTGACTGGAGGCAGCGACAAAATCCAATTAAGCTCTTCACCCTGTGGTAACACACACTGTATGATTCACCGCCGTTGACAATGACGGCCTTTACATTATATGGTCAGAAAAAAAACTTAAATTATGCCCTGACTTGTTTCAACTGTAAGAGTCCAGGCCACAAACACGCGATGTCTGGGTCCTCACATCCTTCCGTTGCCTTCTGAGGACACTCAGTGCCATACCTCAGCTCAATTACAGCATCAGAAATGGGTAATTAGAGTTTGTTGCATGCATGTGGGCTGTATACATAGATATACACTACAAAAAATGTGTACGTCTGAGTATGTCTCTGGGCCTATGTGAGCACAGTGTGTCTAAACGGGGAGGTGTGTTAGCCTTGTAAACACTAAACATAGTGGGCTACGACCAGCACGCTGCCAGGCTGCTTGTGATTAGCAGGTTACAACAGCGTGATCAGAGAGAGCCGGGGGAGCGGAAACCAGGGAATGAGTTTTATGTGGAACTTATTTTAGCATATATTTCCCAGAATTAGCCTCACCGTGGCGGGGGCTAATTTCAGACACAGGGATGTAAAAGCTAAATATAGCACAACAAACATCCAACAGATGCAGAGACAGAAACTAATAAACTGCCAGGGCTTCTTTGGTACATTATTACATAAACATGCATCGCTGTGGCACACAAATATACACGCAGAGGCTACGACAGGACTATAAGGGCTGCCTGTAAAAGGTTTTTCTTGAAAAAGAAACCCCAAAAAGATTAGCATCCCAAAGGAAAAACAAGCCATGAGAGATGCCAGCACGTGTGGAGAGTGTGGACATGTTTATTTGTGTCTGTGCGAGAGCGCAGGCTGAAAATCATTTCTAACCCAAGGCTTAAGGTGCCTCATTACAAGGTTTGGAAAACAGATGTCTTTGTGCAAAACACTTCCTAGCAGAGATGTTGTGGAGGAATCAAACAGAGACCTGGTCGGTGCAGCTCATTTACCAGCGTAAACAACTACAATCACGCACACACGTCCTTAAGACCCCTCTCACCTCCTGGTCTGACCCTCTCTGTGCTCAAACAGCCCTGTTGTTCATGTCTGTCAGCGACTCGTACAAACACCCGGGTGCAGGGTCAACATGAAATGATCTTGGGTCAAATATCCATAAAAGGAAGACAAATCAAGTGTATGCCAACATGGAAAACAAATTCTATAAGAAAGATATATATCCATTTATTATGCAGGGCGATGTGGTGGAAGAGTGGTTTGTGCCTTTACCTTACAGCAAGAAGAGCACTGTGTGGATCCCTGGTCGACTGTTGGTCTTCCTGTATGGAGATTGAAGGGTTTCTTCAGGGACTCTGGTTTCCACCTGTGCAAAAACATGAAAAATGAGGTCAGTTGTTCATCATAGGTTTGAATGAGAGAGTGAATGGTTGAATCAACTACATGAGAATATGACAGAACCAGAACATGTTTCAACAAGAGAGACAGATAAATACGCAGGACATGACATCACCTTTTAAAGTACAAAGTTACAAAAGCCTATAATCCGCTAATCAGCACACAAGTGTGTGTTTGTGAGTGTGTGTTGAAAAGTAACAGATCTGTATCACTGAATCAAGCACACACTCCAAGCATAAACAGATATATCAAAGACGTGTGAGGGTGTGTGCGTGTCTGTTTCATATAAAGCCGTCACACTCTGAGGCAGGGAAGTTCAAATCACTTACATATTTAAAAGACAGTCAGGGAAACAAAAAACGAGAGGAAATGAGGGCCGGGATCTAACAAGAGCTGTGTCGGCCTGCCGGTGTGTTTGGGTGACAGCGCGTTAGCGACACCTCCAGAATTAACACCTTATTATTCACACATACATCACTGTGTGTCTGCAAGAGTGCACGCATGTGTGCTTGATTTAGAGGTAAGAGTTCAGGACAGGAACCTCGGACCAGTACTATTGCATCAGCATTTCATACAGAAATCTTTAATTATATTGATTTTTAATTGACATTAATTCTACCCTGAGGCTGGAACCAGCGCAGCTCAAGAACCAAAGTACACATTTCTAACTGATCTGAACGTTCTGTAGTTCAGGTTATTTTGAACTGCTCACGTAGAATAAAAATAATATATTTTTAATACATTTTTACATGTATATACACAGTATATTGCATATATTTTAAGTACACAATACTGTATATTGTTTATATAAATTCTATACACATTTTTAATAATTTTATTTTGTTAATTATTCAACTAGTTATTAGGGTTAGGCCATGGTTACCGGGTAGTAAAAAAAAGAAAAAAAAAAGTAGTATTTATTACAGACATCCACCATGTTTCAGTTCAACCTGACTGAAACAGGGTTCAACTACATGTGATGCTTTGTTTACTCTTCATGATCCATTCAAAAATGTGTCTAACATTCCACAGGGTGCTTGACCATCACAGGGAGATTCATGATGCATGACAATGCCAACAGAGGAACCACACATAATTTAATAAAACCTTTCCTTCCATGCCATGGAGAGGTGGGGGGGGGACGACAACAGGAGAAGAGCTAATGCATTCTTCATGGTGCACAGCAACTCTGCATGGTTACTGACCAGACCAGGAAACTGGAAGTGGACCATAGACTCTACATCCACCTTAAATAGAAAAAAAAATCGTTTATAACTAAGTCATCACTGACACACAAACTGTAGTGGTGTGGTCATTGGTAATACAAATACGTAATTAATATAATGTTATTTATTTAATAGTAACCATGAAACTCCTGTTTCACCTTGAATTTTCAAAACTACTGAATGAGTCAGAAAGATCATTTCACTATTTGTCATCCTCCAACAAACAGAGTTTAAAGAGTTCAACAATAACCTTATCTGTCCCCCGACCCCTCACATGACCTCTGACTAGATATCAATAATCATTTGATAATTATTGAAACTTTGGTTTATTTATTTATTTATTTTCAGTTTTATTTTAGTTCTAAAATGCTCTAGACATCCATTTAAAGATGTTTGCACTGTTGTATTAGAAAGCATTTATGTAAAACAAAAATGACCTTTTAATTTATTTTTTTAATTATTAATTGTAATTACCATTTTACATTGATGTGGCTCTTTTTCATTACCAGTTGAAGTAGTTAATAATGTTGTTCCAGCACAGTCAACTTTTGTATATGGAGAGCTACCTAATCTGTGTTCTCCAACGTTAACCCCTCACTTCCTGCAAACTTTACTTCTAATAAAATTTACAAAAGCTTTGACAGGGACGAAGATTAAACACACATCCCGAGACAGGAGAACTACCAAATTTACGACATCATTAATCCCCCCCCCCCCCCCCCCTGGGGAGTACGGAAAACAGTCTGCACGTTGGGATCATAGGTTATGATGCTGACCTTCTGCCACTTCCTCTCACCCTGAAAGTCATTCATAACAACATCTCAACAGTTCCCTCACCCAAAGTCCTCTCCTCCCCCTCATCTCCCACACTCCCCTTCTCTGTACTGCCTTCTTCCTATCAGCGTCTTCCCCTGAACCTCCCCATCGGCTCGCTCTGCTCCTGCTGATTCTACAAGTATGTGTGTGTGTGTGTATCACTTCAGCCTTCATATGCAGAGGAGATAAGCGATAAGTGTACCCTGTGTGTGTGTTTCTTTGTGTAAATAATGAGGCTGCGGGGGTGAGGACATTCCATCAGACGGCCGTCTCCATGTGCAATCAGTCATTTCATTAGAAAAAAAACACGAGCAGATTTCCATTAAAACAACATAATACACAGAGCACAAAGTAAAACCAAGTAGTCGCTCTTATTACTGCAGCATCATTGATGTATCTTACCACTGGACTGCAGTCAATTACAGGTGTTCACATTGTTCGTGGCCTTCCTCTGTCTGATATCACAAAATAAATCCTGAGTCTTTGTTATCTGCAGTTATTACCCATAATGCCTGGGGTCTTTGTAGTGGGTTGGCTGTATCTGGTCAGTCAGGCAGGAGTTATTTATCACCCGCTGGTGAAACGGAGGGAGCTTGCCAAGCGCCCGGACCTTATTAGTGAGATTTACAGTGTGCAGGAAAATCTCTCTGTGCTGTAAGCAGTTGTTCATCAGATAACACCCACACTGCCTCGTGACTGCGTGGTCGATAGGTAAAACAGAAACATGTCCAATCCCTAAACCATAAAAACACAAACCACAGTGACCCGGCAGGGTCTGAAGCAGACCGACTGGGAAGGTCAACACAATTATTTTTGAAACCATGTTAAATATTTCAGCATTCAGTGTGTTGAATGTCTTTTGATTTTAGCATTTAAGGTAAATGATAGCTTAAAAATGTTGCATGTTTAAAGTTTAAAATTATCGTTTTACTTCAACACCAGGGTTTAGACGTTGTCCTCTTCATGAAAACAAGATGTTTGAAAGGTCCAGATCCAGGTGCAAGACACATCAGAGGTTCCTGATTAAAGTCAGAGGTGAATGTTTCAAATCTCAAAGTTAAAGTCCAAGGACACTGTCACAGACAACAGACCTGTTTGTTTTCAGTCTATCGAAGAACATAAATATTTAGAGAATTCCCACGGACATACAAGGAGCATAAACTCATCACAGACCAAGTCATGATGCAATCTGGTGACCTTTTGAAGACTGACCTTTATCCTTAACACCAACGTTTATCCCAATCTAATCCAACATCACCTTTAAAACTGAACCATGTATCTCAAACATCCAGCTAACTTCCAAATGTCAAAAAAAGAGAGAATAAATCGAAACTATTGTTTTGGATAACAGTTCAAGGCTAAAGTGAATGGCGAACATGTCATGTACTTTGCCACTGAGCAGCCACGGCTGAAGGCTCTTATCGAGCTCTCACTGCTGGAGAGGGTGAGAAAAGATGGAGCGGAGCTCTGTGCTGTGTCTCTGTCACAGCCTGTGGTTTCAGCCTCTGCTCTGATAGCAGCCGGTGGTATCAACGTCTCACTTCAGTTTGTGTCCAAGCGTTGTCCGCCACTCTGATAGTCACACATTGGTGCCTTCTTGTTTTGGAACTGCCAGTGCTTGTTTCCTCTAACGACTCCAAAACCTTGTGTAAATCATGAACACATACTCAAATCTCAAATACAATAATAGGCATTAATTTACCAGAAAAGAAACGGCTACGAGAAGCAAAAGCGGGGGTTGTTTTTTCAATGTCATCCAAAGGTTTACAGCCTTGTTTGGCAAAACACCGAACATATACTCGCTTGGCAAAATGAGATTTATTAAAGTACTGCTGCGGGAACTCAGGAAAAAAGTCCAACTCCTGAGATGAATTCCAGTGTTCAGTTGTGATGTTAAATGTATGAGGCCACTAAACAGATCTTGTGGAACACTTTCACTGTCATCCATATGCAGAAGCTTCTTCCTTCCTCCTGGGCAGCGGCGGTTGTGGGCTGCACGCTCCTGTTGAAAAGCCCTTTGTCAGAAGCCAAAGAAACTGGAATGACTTCTCGAGTTGTTTTCTTGGCCTCTGCCACGGGTACAACAAAAGTGTTATTATGTGAGCCAGACAGTCTTCGTGTTTTCATTTGTGCGCTCGTGTGTTTATGCATGTGTGTGTGTGTGTGTGGATATGATAGCTACGATGGAGGTTATTTTAGATTTAGTTCCTCTGCTCCTCGGAGGCTGTCAGATGAACAGAGTGGCAGGATAGAAGATCACAGAGAGGAAAACCCGCAGAGGAAGAAGATTGAGTTTGTGTGTGTGTGTGTAAGGCCAAATTTACATAGCAAAAGTTCATTTCTGCTCTTTGAAGCGGGGAGTATCAGTGTCTTAAGAAAACACGTCGAGGAAAGGCGCTGTTGACGCTGCGTTCGTGTGTGAGGGAGAATTTTTTTTTTTTAAACGGAGCATGAGAAAAAGGCCGATGCATTAATATCTTCTTTATCACTGTTCTCTCCCTCCTTGCCTTCACGTCCGTCTCATCCTCCTTCCATCCTTCCTCTGACCCGCTCAATCTCACCATCCACATTTCTTTCACTACTTGTCTCATAGCAGCAGAAGGATGAGGCGTAGTGACTCATAAATTTGATAATCAGCCTCTTCATTAACCTGAGTCCTACGTCCTCCCGTCTGTGTTTCCCCTGTCCTCACTCTTATCTCCTACAAAGATGAAAAGAGCCCGTCTCCTCCAGCGGAGAAAGACTAGATATACAAATAAAATCAGAAGGTTTGAGAGGAGAATTCAACTCACACACAGTGATGATTTGACATAAAGGCCTTGGAGTATTCTTAAATGTGGCGGCCATATTGTATTTTCTGAAGTTAGCAGGTAGCTCTACCCCACTTTTGCATGTTTTACACATGAAAGCCAGAGGATTTGGATCC